TGTGTTTTGAGAGTTATAGAGTAAAAGCCGTAGCTTATTACTCCATTTTTTGCTGCAAGGATAGGCAGAGACTCCTCGTTTATCACAAGCGTGATATATCTCTCCTGATCCTTCACCTCGCTGATCTTCACTACTCTCCAATCAAGGGTCGGTAGTGAGTCGCTGGAGAGCTGGATTTTCTCCAATATGCCTTCGGGCTATGCAGGTTCTTCCGGCACCCTGGCCCTGGCCCGGGGCCTACAAGGGATTTCATCCCTATGGACGGCCGCCAGGTTCGCGCCGGATCCAGGTTACCCAGCATGGCTATGGCTTCCTTATTCAGCTTCACCAACCTTTAGTCGGTCGGCTCTGGTAAGGGTCGGCGTCGAACTACAGGGGGGTCCTGGGTTTTTGCTCAGATTCTCCTTGTAGACCCGGAAGAGGCCCACAAGGACGGACTTCCAATTTCCCCTCCGGGTGTCCCCTATCGATGATTGCTAGGACCAAGTGGTCTTTAGCGACGTCGTTGAAGGATCCTGTGTGCCCGAGCAGGGTTAGTAGGGCCGGAAGAAGTTAAAGATATGGGCTTCTTAGGTTCCCACACAGTGCGGTTATCCGCTGACCGTTGCCTCTTTGAGCTCGTTGGTATTGGAGTTTTGGAAGCTCTCTTCCATGCTCTCCTTCTGTTACTGGCTTGCGGCGAGGATGCCCTTGGCCCACTTCACCAGCTCCTGTTTCTGGTTTCCAGGATTGTCGCCAAATTTTGTGAGAAGCCTTGAGGCGGCTCTCGGCTCCAGTTGCGCCTTCACGGTCGGACGAACCTCCTTCTTTTCCCGGGGGCGGCCGTAGCCCTTTGATGTTTAAGGACTCCACGCTTGTCATCAGGCCTAACAGCTACAATGCCCGCAGTGCGCTCTTTAGTGCTGGGTGCCTCCACAGCCGCCTTGGACATGGATAAAAATAAGGGAGAAACGAACGGTCGGTCACGGCAGAGCCCCATGCCGTGGTAAGTCCACCGTTACTCCCGGAGACGGACAGATATCCGGGAGGCGCCGTTAAAATACAGTCGGAAAGCCCCCTGACTGCAAACCATCCAATGGGCACGGTGACGCATGACACCCTGGATTAGGGGGACATTTTATACCTACCGCCAGGTACCCTCTAAAAAAGCCTAAGTGTGCCCACCCCGGGCTCCCTTGGACGTGCCCGTATGGCCAGCCGCGTGACGAAGCAGGAGAGTTTATCACCCCTATTCTGCAACACTTTCGTATTTGGATTTTGCTACGAATCGTAGAAATGATATGCTGCAATCCGAATCGTACCTTCGAACTTTCGAAATTCGTAACAATTGCATGCCTAAAAACGAAAGGATAAGCTTTTTGCGTCATTTTGTACGAAAACAATTCTGTGTCGGAGGTGAGATAAAATATGTAAATCGATGTGTGTTTGCAGGAAATATTAGTGGTTTTTATTTAAACAGATAAATTTTCCTTTCGCATATACGTATATTTTTATCCACTGCTTTATATAAACGAGCAAAAAAGAATCTTTGTTTCCTCTTATCGAGAAACTTGGGTTATTTCTACAATTACTTTCGGTATACCGAATCCAAAAACTTTAACATACACGTGTAATGAAAGGATTAAACTTTTATTTAAAATAGATGTTTCAAATTTTTGACCGCTAGCTTATTAATAAATTCGGTTTGCACTATGAATATTTTTTTGCAAATTTCGATGTGGGTTCTGCGCAAAAATACTGTGATATGCACAAGAAATGTTGTATAACTCTGACTTGCGGAAGCCCCTTATAGTCGCCTGTTATACTATATAGGTATCTATAATAATCTTTATTAAATCAAAGGTGTAAGTATAAAATTCAAATTATCTTTATCACGCAGCGAAAAGAAAAATAATGAATATTTTTGCGAACTCTTGCACAGTATTTCCAGACACGAGTTTTCGCGAATGAATCGTCGAATTCCTTTTATGAGTTGCCAAGCCGATATGGACTAGTTGGGGTTGCCACATCACTCACCTCGGTACTTAATAGGGAGCTTAACCTTGCGCCCAGATCGTGTTACACCTGTCGAGTGCGAAGTTGGTACAGCCGGTGTAGGGCTCGTGCGTGTTGTTGTTCGTTTGCTTGCTTCCCTGTCGTCGTTGAATAGGTAAGCAGCTTTCAGCCTGTCGACGCTGACGTTGGTTTTTTTGCCATTTATCTCCAGCTGGTAAATTTTATAATTACGCTTATGGACTTAATATGGACCGTCATACGGAGGTTGTAATGGTCGGCGTACTGTATCATTTCTGACAATGACTGCGGTGGCAGTGGCTAGTTGCTTCTTTATGAAATATGACGGCTTAGCATGATTCGAAGTCGTCCTTGGTTTCAAGTCGCGCATTCGTTTGCTGATGAATTCGGATTCATTCCTGTCGTTCATAAGCGTGGATTCGAAAAATTCTCCTGGTAGTCGAATTGTGTTGCTATATGTCATTTCGGCCGGCGTCGCTTTGATATCTTCTTTGAAGGCAGATCGATAGCCAAGAAGAATTAGTGGTAACACTCCGACCCACTGCTCCGTTTGGAAACATTTTATCGAAGCCTTCAATGTTCGATGGAACCGTTCGATGATTCCATTTCAAGCTGGATGATATGCTGTTGTTCTGAGGTGTTGGATACCAAGGAGTCTGTTCAGGTCACGAAAGAGAGAAGATTCGAATTGACGCCCCTGATCGGTCGTGATTTTTGTAGGGACGCCAAATCTTGAGATCCAATTCGAGTAAAAAGCAAAAGCAACGGTTTCAGCAGTGATTGTTTCGATGGGGTATGCTTCAACCCACCTGGTAAATCTATCGATACATGTAAGGCAATATCGGCATCCTTTGTTAAGAAGCAAGGGTCCGACGATGTCCATGTTGACGTGGTCGAAGCGTTTCTCCGTCAGAGTGTAAGTTGCTATTGGCGACTTGTTGTGGCCACACAAATTTGTCTGCAACTAGCTTCGTTGTTTTTGAAACGCCGGCATGGCAGAGGTTGTGCAACGACTCAAATGCAGTTCTACGAAATGGCTTTGTAATAAACGGTTTTGCTTTGCCCGTACTTATGTCGCAGTACAACTCAACCGCTGTGCCTGGTATATTGAACTTTTTAAAATTAGACTGGAATCTCCTTTTAAATATGTTTCGATTTCGTCATCGGTCGACTGGCTTTGCGCTAAACGTTCGAAGTTGACGGCGGGGCTTACGTGGATGGCTTCGACCCTGGAGAGAGCATCAGCTGTTATGTTTTCTTTGCCAGGGACGTAGCGTATGTCCGTTGTGAACTGGCTAAGGAAGTCGAGGTGTCTAATCTGTCTAGGGGAAGCTTTCTCAGTGTTCTGCAGAAATGCGAACTGTAATGGTTTGTGATCTGTGAGCACGTAAAACTGTTGTCCTTCGAGCATGTGCCGAAAATATTTTACACTCTTGTAAACAGCCAAGAGTTCGCCGTCGTATGTGCTGTAACGCTGTTGAGCAGATCCGAGTAAAAGCCGAGTGGCCGCCATTTATCACCATCGGACTGTTGCAAAACAGCACCTATTGCAATGCCGGATGCGTCGACTGCTACGGCCAGCGGGGCGCCTGTTTTCGGGAAAGCAAGAAGGGTTGTCGTGCATAGTTCGTCCTTACCTCTTGATTCCAGTTGATTTTGGATGTATCTTTCTTTGTGTTGCCTTTTACGAGTGTAGATAATATGCTTTGATCTGCTGCGGCTCTAGACAGGAATCTATGAAAAAAATTTATCATGCCCAGAAGGCGTCGTAAGTCGCACGCACTTTCGGGTAAGCTGTATGCCTTGATGGCTTGAAATCGTTCTTCCGCTGGAGAAATACTATATTTAGAGACCTTATGACCTAAGAAGAGGACTTCGGGTTTGCCGAGGACGCACTTTGATGGGTTTATGACGACCCCATGCTTTCGTAATTTTACAAAAACTTTTCGCAAATGTTGCTGGTGCTCTGCTTCGTCCTTGGACGCGATAAGGATGTCGTCCAGATAAGGCCAAGCAAAGTTGAATTCGCGCAAAATCTGATCCATGAATCTTTGAAAAGTTTAGCCAGCGTTCCTTAAACCAAAACACATATAGACAAATTCTACATACCAAACGGTGTGGACATAGCTGTCTTCGGTATGTCTTCCGGTTCGACTGGGATCTGGTGGTACGCGCGTCTTAGGTCAATCGTCGAGAAAACCGTGCATCCGTGAAGAGTATGAGAAAAATCATGGAGATGCGGCAGCGGATATCGGTCCGGCTCCGTAACATCGCTCATTCGTCTGTAGTCTCCACATGGTCGCCATTCGCCGTTTTTCTTACGTACCATGTGGAGAGGACTTGCCCATGGACTTGTGATGGTCGGCATATACCGGCTTCCAACAACGCCTCGATTTCAGCTTTGACCGCTTTCAGTAAGGCAGGTGCCAAACGACGAGGCTTTGCAAAAACTGGTGGCCCTCTAGTAACAATGCAGTGCGTGACTTGGTGTGAGATGTCCTTCAGGACTGCGCTCGATGCACCCATAATGTCTTTGAACTCGTTTAAAATGCCTTGGAACGGTATTTCGGAGTTAATGGCGGATATATTCAGGATGTTATCAGGAACATTGACGATCGCGCAGCTTTTTGAAATGTGCGTGACGTCGTCGAACAGCCTGCGGTGTCGAAGGTTGACTGACAAATTGTAATGGATGAGGAGGTCTGCACCGATTATGGGCGATAATAAAGGTCCATTTTGATGGTCGTCGTAGACCGAGATTTAACGTAAGGAGTTTTTCACCGTATGTTTTGATTGTAGTCTTGTTTGCTGCGTATAGATAAAAATGGTTTTCGCATTGTTGGCGTTGTGTAGCCGTTGCTAGGATCACACTAACTTCGGCCCCAGTATCAACCAAAAAATGTAATTAACTGATCGAATCTCTCTAATAAGCAAGCGGCGGCTGGTTATATTTCGCCTGTCACTTGCCGCCTCTAAGGATAGGGCGTTTAGTTTAACAACTTGGTACACGGTGGACTGCACTTTTTTGCGTTATCGCCGAACTTAAAATGGTACCAGCATGTTTCTGCAGTCAACTCAGGCGTGCGTGGTCTGTTGCGCGACGAACTCCTGTTGCGGTTGCGTGACTGTGAAGATACGCGCGATTTTAGAATTGTAATCTCTTTCGAAAGTTGTTCGATTTGCTGTGCTAAGGTGTAGTTAGGTGCCGCATTGACTGCATTCGATACCGCGTGCCATTGCGGGCCGTCCCTAACCTCCGTGATTTTATCTGCTAAACATGCGACTTTGTCTAATGGTTCCGAACTGATGGAAATTATTGATCGTACGTCGGGTGGGAGTCGATTAAGCCACACCGATTTCAGCATGGAGTCGTTCATCGCGTTGCCGGCGAGGTTTCGCATCTCCCTAAGCAGTTGCGATGGGCGCATGTCTCCTAGTTCCAGTTCTTGCAGCAATTTTTTAATTCGACTTGGTTCGGATTCGGCGAATCGTTCTACTATGTGTGCTTTTAGGGTTTCGTACATGTCGGTTGTTGGCGGATTTAAAATAATATCGCTGGTTTGTGCCAGTACGTTGCTCTCGATAGCGGCTATGACAGTGTGGTGCTTTGTCGCGTCGTTTTTGATTCGAGCGGCAATGAAACGGGATTCAACTTGTGCGATCCATAAGCTTGGGTTTGCGTGCCAAAATGGCGGTAGCTTTACTGTTATGTTGGCGATTTCTTCGCTGGCATCATTTCCGCGAACGTGTTCCTCTGCCATACTTGCGAGTGGCTGCGAGACGTCTGACTTCGGGGTGTTTTCCTGTTCGTCGTCACCCATATTGCTAAAGATGTTGCTCCTTTGTCGGGGTCACCAATTATATAGTCGCCTGTTATACTTTATAGGCATCTTTAATAATCTTTATTAAATCAAAGGAGTAAGTACAAAATACAAATGATCTTAATCACGCGGCGAAAAGAAAAATAATGGATATTTTTACGAACTCTTGCACAGCATTGCCAGACACGAGTTTTCTCGAACGAATCGTCGAATTCCTTTTAGGAGTTGCCACGCCGATATGGACTAGTTGGGGTTGTCACACCCTCTTCTCCGGCTACACAGAAAGGAGAAATCTTCTTGGTAAATGTTACAATCCCTAAGCGCGGCCGAAGGCAAAAGCAAGTGCAACAGGTGGGGACCTTACAAAATGCATGTTTTCAATGGCTTGGAAGAAGCTGTTATTGCATTAACTGGATTGAGAACCAGTTTTCAGGTATAGGAGGAGTTCTGGCTTGTGGTTCAACAATTCAACCAGAAGCTGATATGGATGCACCCGTGGTTACTATGCGCGGCAGCTCCGAATACCTTTGTGAGTCCATTGATATAGCGCGCTCTTACACCGCTGCTATAACTGCAAATGCATCAGAATCCATAATTTTCCATAAAATATTTAAAACCAACCAATTTTACTATAAACAAGCACATGATGAGCGTTTTTTTTTTATTCCTTTCCACTTTGTTTTCCATCATACAGCTGACTTCGAAAACCAACTGATAGCCGGCAATGCTGTACATTTTTCCGCAAGGGTTGCAGCATGTCGATTTTTCGTTTTTCGTAACGTAGCTACGAATTACGAATTACGAAAATTCGGGTTCTAGAATAAGGGAATTTACCTCGGCCTTAGCTAGGTCCCGCCTACTTGTACCACTGCGGCATGGGCAAGGAACAAGCCTGCCTTGCCAGAGCTGTCTAAGCAGCGATGCCCATTGCCCTGTCGGTACCCGCTTGGAGGGTACATCTAGGAGAATTTTCGCCAACTAAAAAATATATTAATTTTTAAGTGGTGGCACCTTTTATTGAAAAAAAAACCTTACTGCACATCTACAGCCCAAGCCCTTTCATTTGACACCTCATTTTCGAAAATCAAACAAACAGTGCAGATTTGATGACATAAAAAAAAATGCCCTTGGATATTAATTTTTTATATATTTGTTTTGTATTTTTCTTATTTTTTCGCTCTGTAACTTTTTAAAGAACAAATAAAAAAGTGATGCTCGAGGATCATAGTTCAATAGTATATTGTACAATAGAGCAAACAAGTATTTGGCTAAATTTTCCAATCGCAGATTAAATAAGTTTTTTTTTTTAACTATCAGTCACGCCACTTTGACTCTTCATAACTTCTTTTCTATTGCAAGCACATACTTCTGACTAACTTCTAACGGTTGCATTTGATTCTGCTCTCCAAATGCTACCAGTTCATTATATACTCAATCATGCACAATCGACGCACCAAATTTTGCAACGTAAAAATAAAAAAATAACTGGAGAGTCACACTTTTATTTGCGAAAGTTTCCCAATTTTATTTCTGAATTATATTCATAGTTAGTTTGAACATGTGTACGGTTGTCCTTTTTTGGATTCACATAATCTACACAACACATGTGACCTGATTTTTGTTAATAAACGAGCGACAATTATGTGTCCGAATAAAAATTGTCGCGTCAAGCGACAATTCGAACTAATTGAGAATTGCCCATATGTATAAATATGAGGGCGTATTCAAAATTTTGATTATGCAGGTTTTTTATGCTAGTATATCCATTTATGCTAAATATATTAATTTTTTATTTTGTTTCACCGCTTAATAAATAAAAAATGCATTGAAGGCTGTTAACTGATCTATTTTAAAGCATAGTTAGATCATTAGTTAAAGTTAACTACAGAAAATTCTGTCGAATTTTTCTGTAAAGTTAACCTAATGTCACTAATCGCACTTGTGCACAAGGGTATTATAACTTTGTTCACATAATTCTTCTGCAGGACTGTTGCTGATTAAATCATTTAAAATTCTTCTATGTTTAAGTCTAATTTCTAACTGCAATGAAATCCTAATGTTTGTAACATTTGTACGCTGAAATGCAACCGTGCATCGAATATGTACACGCCATTGATTTAACCGAACCATTTTGAATTTGACCGTTCGCCTTTCATAGACGTACGAGGACATGAATAAGTAAGTCGCGTTATAATTTTTTCCTATTCATATTACATTTCAATTAATGTAATTTTAAGATATTAAAACACTAAGAGTAAACTAATAAACAAATACTTTTATCGTTCTTAATATATCCGTGCATTTTTTAATGACTTTGAGCATATTCGTCGCCGCCTCGTACGACCGACCTAAAGTTGCTATTGCGCCAGCAACAGATTTTAATATGTATCCCGCAAAATTCGTTTCATAAACGCCTATGAACTCATCGAATTTGTAAGGATATATCCGAGTGACTCCTGGAAAATCACCACGTTACAATCTACGAAGTAGAATAGATTCATCACATATTTGCGAAATCAAAATGGCCGACAACAGCTCACGTAGCGGCGGCGAAGGTAACCGCACAATCGCACCACATGACAGCATGATAGAGGAGTTACGTGGACAGGTAAGAAAATTACAAAGATCGCTCGCTGCATCGGAGCAGGAGAAGCTTTAACTCAAGGAAGTGATAAATCGCCAAGTTTCCAACGTCATCTCTGCCGACGATAATTCCGCCGAAGCTACCATCGCCTGCTCCCAATCTATCGAAGGCACCACTGCCTGCTCTAAATATGCCGGAGCAAATATTGCCTTACCCAACGTTGGTAAACACTCCACCCAAGCCGAAGCTGCAAATGCCTACGCAGCAGAGCTAGGTGTTTACACCGCTAACGCAAATGCCACAGTACTTCCAACCGGCGTTAGTTTTGCTAATGCCGCCGACGCCATTGCCAATTGAGTTTACCCTACCATACAACATTCGACGCGTATGCAGCCTATTATAACCCTCCCGAGTTCGCGTTACATCACGAACGGTTCAGCAGCCAACGTGAGCTCTACACCAACCACAACGCCAACAGTGCCTACGTATAATGTGCCATACTTTTGCAGTCCCAATATTTCATCAGTTCCCGCAATGAACAACGCTCTTCTAACTTCGAGTCCAATAAGCTACACACAGCCCAGAAAGGTTCTAGATTTGCCAGAATTTCAAGGTTCGGCCAAACAGTGGCCTATGTTTTACATTGCCTATAGGGAAACCCCACAAATGTATGCCTATACAAATTTAGAAAATTTTCTACGTTTACAGAAAGCATTAAAAGGTAATGCCAAACAAAAGGTCGAATCATTGCTCATACATCCAGCAAGCGTTGATTCGGTTATGAAAACATTTGAATTCAATTATGGTCGCCCTGATTTACTGATCCGTAGCCAAATAGCCAAGGCACGGGTTTTTCCTGCAATCACGGGAGCACGAGTATCTGATATTCTCAACTTCAATTCCATGGTGTCCAATTTCACAGCATTTATTGAAAATTCTGGAGTAAAAGCACACCTCAATAACCTTATACTCATTGATGAACTTGTCAGTAAGCTGCCTATGAATAAAAGAGAAGAATGGTCTCGCCATACCTTTAATTTGCAGCAGCCGTACCCCACTGTTCGTGAAGTCTGCAACTGGTAGCAACAAACTGCCACTTACGTATCCATGGCTATCGACGTCACAACAAAAGCATCCAACAGATGAGCAGATTAATTATAAAGCTAAGCATTCATCAAAGCAAAGACGTGAAAACATGTCCAATGTGTGAGCAAAATCATCACATATATAAATGCCAAAAGTGATGGGCATTTTTGAATGAATTATTATTCAAATAAAAAATAAAATTTTATTCATAATTTTTTTAATTTTGAATGACGAATAAATTTTTGTTCTTCATTCAAGCACTTTCGAATGATGAATAAATTTTTATTCATCATTCAAGTAATTTCAAATAACGAATAAATTTTTATTCATCATTCAAGTAATTTAGAGTGACGAATAAATTTTTATTCTTCATTGAAGTAATTTCAAATAACGAATAAATTTTTATTCATCATTCAAGTAATTTCGAATGAAGAATAAATTTTCATTCATGTTTCAAGTAATACTGAATAACGCATACTTTTTTATTTATTCATTCTTTCTTGATCACAGTACCAGGTAGAAACTTATTCTTATTTTTTTTATTCAATTATTAATTTTCCTGATTACGCTCATCCCTGGTACGCACAGCAAAAAAAAAATGTTGAAGCTTAGTGGCTTTATGCAAAGTCACAAGGAATTAAAAGACATTAGCATTTTTGATTACAACGGCGTTGTTCCGCAACTTCTAATTGGATTACCGCACTCCAATTTAATAAGAGCAAACGAATCAATAAATTTTGATGAAGGCTTTGCAGTCCACAAAACAAAACTGGGGTGGACATTATTCGGCTAAAACGAATATCATGCTAGTGACGGCACAATCTGTCACATAGGTATCGAAATTTCCATGATTTATTTATTTATTTTAAGCTTCAACGCAACAGCCGTTGGCTATATTTCAGCGCTGACACATTTAGAATTACATACAAAGCAATTTAAATCTAGTGAAAATATTTGCATCTTATATCTACCTTTATCTTAGATAGGAAAACGAGAGATAGAAAGAATAGAGTAATAAGGAAAAACAGCAGAAGGAACGATTAGTTATACATATCTATATTTCATTAGGCATAAAATTTGTAGAGCTCGCTTTTAAAACGCACAGTGATAAGTCTCAATGCGGATGGGAGGCCATTCCAAGGACGAATAGCGTGGACAAAGAATTGCCGCTCGGATATTGAGGTGTTGTATTTCGAGTGTAACAGCTGTGAAGATCTAGTTGACCGGGTATAGTGTAATCGGCACTTTAGATACTGCGGTTCATTCGTGACTAGAAATTTATGCAGCATTACGAGACACCTTACCTTTAATAGATCATTAAACGAGATTG